TCTATAAATAAATATAAATGTACTATATATACTCAATAAAATAAGTGTGTTAAGTGTTTGGAAAAAAAAATTGCATACGTACACATGCACATCGAAACGTTTAATAGCAGGAGGTGACACCCTTCGATTAGAATTCGGGGCCCGAATAAACAAGAAAGTGGACAGGCGCCCAACAGCATTTGTCGGTGATTATTCGGTTTAGCAACAAGTTGACCGACCGCCCTGTGTTTGATGAAGTTACAGTACGTGTCAATATCTCGAAGCTTTATCATCGAATGTAACACAGCATATCACCGATCTTCCACGGTTTCAAATATTGACGCCTATTTTATACAGTAATTACTATATCATATCGAAACTCTTCGTCTCGATGTACCATTTGATTTGTACTCTTTTGGCGGTATCTTTTAAACGCCGAAAACAAACCTATGAACATCGCAACAAAGGCGCGGTGCACCTCTCTCCCTACATGCATTTTACAGTGGACGTAGAGTAGTGTCAAATTAATCAACTCATTCTTGCATGTTCTACTACAGCACCATCGATTGATAAGTGAGATCAGAACGCACACACTCCAAAAAAAAAAAAGAAAAAGAAATAAGGGTGAGCCGTTCAGAGACAAGGAAGTGACCAAGGCAATAATGATGCACTTATTGGGAAAGGTTCAAACGATTTAAGTGGTGATTTCTTGGACGGCGCCGTCGTCGCCGTAATTACCCTCGCATCTTACGAGAAGGGAACAGGAAAAGGTATCGGGTCGCATTGCCAAGATGTAAATACAATTTGACGAGCAATTTGTGCGCTAGTAATTTTTTATTATAGAAAAATAAAAAGGAAACACACATATGTTCATCAATATTGCAAATACATGAAAATATTTATTACTCCGTTTGTCTGTCGATTCCCCAATATTTGATTACAATTCGAAACAACAATTAGTCAACATAAAAGTTGTTATCTCCGAGGTAAACTCATCGACAAAACAGTTACGTAGTAAATAAATATATGTGCGCAA